CATCAAGACCTTTCATTTAAGTACCCACATCATTTTTTCATATATTTATATATATTATATATATATGTATATATGAACAATATATGAAAATGCATGTGGGTACTCAAATGAAAGCTCTTGATAAGTGTATCATCGGGATGAGCTTATATCTTTCAAAACGTTAACATTTAAGAAAGTACAGTGCAACTTAACAAAAGTCATTATTTAATAAAGCAAAATTTTATTTATTTATCGTTCACAAGCCACGCCAGTCACATAGGGACTGCAAGGTTTCCAGTAAATTTTAATTTACTTTTGGAGTTGTTGTACCTAATCGGTTAATAACAAAATCAAAGTACTGGATTGAGTGAATTTTTTACCTTGTGTGGCTGAGATCATGCTTTATTTATTTAGTGTGTACGGTAGGGCTCATTGTTACATTACAGTACTTATTTTTATGTTTATATTTATATTGTTGCTCGAAGTAAAAAACGAATTGAGTTCTCGAACAATGCTAAAGCTGAACAATGTGCTAAAATATTTTTAGATGACCATTGACCCTTTGTTCTTATTATATGAGCATAGCACGTACGCTGTATAGTACTGCAACGGTGTTGGAGGAATTCCCGGCGGCGAAATGCATTACACGACAAGAGGGCGGATAAGCATGCGAAAAATCTCCGATAAAGGTAAAACTCAAAGATAATGCAGTCGGCGCCTGCTCTAGGTCCCTCGCCTGGACCTGAACCTCGGCTATTGTCCGGGATTCTGATCAACTTTTTAACTGGGACAAAGACATAAAAATTTGTCGGTACTCGGTACTCGGTGTACAGTGCAAGTTTAATTGAATAAGTCGTGCGATCCGTCCGAGGATATAACTATAGTTTGCCTGTAATTATCTTGCGGGTGGAGCTTCGATGGTTGTTCTGGGTATTCTCTGAATTATGGACCTTGCTTCATTGTTTTTGTTGAATTCTTATTAGATTGCGAAATTGCTTTTTATTTTTATAAATAATTTCATTTTTTACAGGCGTACTTATTTTATATTTATTTTATGCAAGACAATTTTTATGGGCCATCAATTTCTTATATTTAAACCAATAGGACCTTATAATAAATTTAGAATAAAATTGTATTATGGTTTTTTATAAAAAATATAGAAAAAAAAAATTATAAGCCGGATTTAGTAATTTTGGTAACTATTTTAATTTTTATTTTTTTGAACGAAATTTTTATTTTATTTTATTGATATATTTTTTTTTTTGAAAAATACATAAAAAAATGAACAATTAAAAAAAAAAAGTTGATTATCAAAATTTTAACAAATTTTCAAAACAATTTATAAATTTTTTAGAAAATTGTGATATTCAACTTTTTTTTAATTGTTCATTTTTTTATGTAGTTAAAAAAAATATATCAAAAAAAGATAAAATAGAAATTTTATCCAAAAACATGAGAGCCAAAATTTTTTCCAACTTTTGAAAGCAAAAAATCTATCAAAATCTTTATTTTTTTCTTTCACAATATTTTTATTATAAATGCGCCGTAAAAAAAGCTGTAAAAAAAATTAATTAATGTTAATTAGTAATTACCGTAATTTTTTTTTTCATTCGTCAAAATTATACCAAAATTTTGTATTTATTTTATATTTTGTAACAGTCAAAATTTTGCGCACATATTAATATTTCAATTAAATTCTGAGATAAAACTATCTAGGAGATAATTATGTTATAAATTTTAAATTTTATAATTTATTGTTTTTTTAAGTAACTAAAAAAAAAAATACTTTATAAAAAATTAAAAACGAAAAAATTGAATAATTATAAAATCATATATTTTCACCCAAAAATTAAATAAAATATTTCACCTCATTAATTTTATGCAAAAAACTTCCTCATACTCTGAAAGCATTAAAAGTTAAAAAAATAAATTAATTCTTTTAATTTATAGAAAATTCTTGCAATAAATTTGTTTTAAAATTTAAATTTCATAATAAATAAAAATTTTTACGCAAGAATTAAAAAAAAATAGCAACAATTATTGACAGGATAAAAAATCATGTAACAATTATTAATTACTCGAATTGTTAAATATTTTTGATGTATTGATAGCTCTTAAAAAATTGAAAGAGTCTCTAGTCCAGTAAAATAAAGTAGTTAAGCCTTAATTATAGATCAAGAAGCTAGTCAGCGATTTGTAGTCTGAGCCACGACACGAAGAAAGTAAATAAGTCTTGGCATTATATTCGGAAGACTAATATAACACTTTCACGCCCAAGGACGCAGATACATCCCCGGCTGCTAGAGTGTAAGTTGTAAGTGGTTACTCAACAGTCAACAGTTTAAAGATTTCACAAATTGGCTCACATTATTTCCAGATCCAGATACAGCTTCGTCAGCTGGAACGTGCCCGGAACCCATGACTGAATAACAACAAATTACATTTCTGATGCTTGTGTATTTATCGGTATACTGTGTATATAATTATGTATGCCGTACTCCAGTCATGTGACAGGTTCTTCGGGTTTTTAATCACGTCCATGACATTGCATTTCATTTCATTTGTACATATGTGACTAGGATATTTTATTTATATTTATATTTATGAATACATTTATTATTTAAGTTTTTCTTTTGCTTCAATTATCTAATAAGTTATTAGTTATTTTATTAGTCAACATTTTTATGACGCGCATTTGAATAAATAATTTATAAATCATTTTAATTATTTATTTACTTTATTTATTTTAGTAATTTTTTTTTATATAAATTTTAAGTGTTACCGTCGACAGTAATGATTAATTAAAATTTTTCTTGAATTTTTTTATGTTATTGTTTTTAATGACTTTTTTTTTTTTTTTTTTTCAAAAATTATTGTATTATTTGTCTATCAAACTAGATACCTGAGGATGTCGGAATAAAACCGACGAAACGTCGTATAACAAATAATTATGTTAAAATTTATTTATGTTCTTTTCACCTGACCCTTACTGCATATTAAATCTCAAGACCTGAAATTTTTCATTATTAAATTTTTCTATTAATTTCAAGGATAATGAAGACAATGAAAGTATTAAGGATAAGTCGTTTCTTGATTTAAGTGAAAGATAATAAATTCAAGCAGCAAACCTTAAAATTTAAATAACCAAAAGAACATTAGCACTATCTAAAAGTAAATACAATAATTAGATTTATTTTATTTTTCATTTCACATTTAGTAAAAATGCATTAAAAATAATGCTAATAATGAAACTGTTAGTTGAAAAAATTATAAGAGAGTACTTTCTACATAAAAAAAAAAATAATGACATGACACTGAAAAAAAGGTTCACTTGAGCAAAAAACAATTTTTTCTTCCTAATTATTATTTTGAGGAAAATATATTTATTTATTATAATAATTTTTAAAAATTACAAGTCAACAGTTTTTTGTATACATGAATATATGTTGTATGAAATTAAAAGTAAGAAATATTGCTCTAATTTTTCATTTCAAATATTAATAAATAAACGCATAAATTAAAACTTATTTCCGTTTTTATTTTCAATTAATTGGAGGAAGAACATATAATAATTTTGTTATTTTTTTATTTTGATAATAATAATAATAATAATAATAATAATAATAATAATAATAATAATAATGATAATTTTTAAAAATTACAAGCAAACAGTTTTTTTGTATCCATGAATATATATTGTATGAAATTAAAATAATAAATATTGCTCTAATTTTGAATTTAAAATATTAACAAATAAACGCATAAATCAAAATTTATTTCCGTTTTTATATTTAATATGTTTGAGGAAGAACTTCATTTTAGCGACGCTTATCAATTCCCGGTAGTTGGTGATCTTTTAATCCTCCAAGTCTTCTTAATGCATCACGATTTAGACACCATGCTCATGTTGGGCTATGCTGGTCAGCCTTTCCATATTGTTTTTTTCCACTTAACTTAATGGAACCCGCCGTTGTGGACTTGTTTGTCCCATTAGAGATGGCTGCATCGGTGGGAATTTCAAAAACCGAGCTTAACGACTCCTTCCCCAACGAAATTTGAGTTTCGGTTATACTTTTTCGCAACCATTTAAACTGAAAAAAATAAATAAAAATACAACCCATTGTTGTTATTAATTCTTCAATCATTCACTTCATTTCATCAATTATTAAAATTAAAAAATTAAAAATTATTTTTTAATGAACAATAAATTAAGTACTTACATCAATTTTGGAAAGCTCCTGTTGTACTGCTTCCATTTGCGTGTTTACACAAACCCAATTGGATTGGATTCGTGGATTTTTTTGGGATTCAAACTCCCTAAATATGAAATTTTCCATCCATCTCCGATTTGTGAAATAAATTGACTTTCCACTTCAGAAGTTTATTAGTTAATAAAGCTCCAAATAATATTATTACTCAAAGGATCCTCGCAAATTTTAAAAATTGAGTAGAGGGGGAAAAAGAGGGAAATTAAGTCCTCTTTTCATGAAATATATAATCATTTCTGATAGTATGTCAAAATTAAGAAGGGTATTTAAATTCGACCTGGATGGTAAAGAAAATTGTATGAGACAGTACAAAAATAGAAAGACTACCCTGATAGCCACACTTTCCCTTCAAAATTTGGAATATCCGTGATTATAGTAAAATTAACGGAAAGTTTACGACAAGTCTTTCTGTTCCGCGGGTATTGTCGGTAATATGCCGTAAAGTTGTACAGTAAGTAGCAGAAAGCTGGTGCCGTTTTTAGAGGGGAAGAAATCCGAAAAGCTTGCTCTACAATAAGTTGCTGTAAAGATACCAATATATTTCTGTTATGAATTTGAATTTCTGTTATGAATCTTTTATGACTGAAAGGACTCAGTCATATGCTGCACTAGACTTATTCGGGTGCGCACACGACTCAGTCTGGTGTAAACTAATTTTTCTTCCATTTTTTCTTGCACACGACTGAGTCTGGTGCAGAAAACGAACCAGTCGGGTTCCATTTTTTCCGTGTATCATTATTATCTAATAGAGATATAATATTTAGGTTTGAATCATTTAAATAATTTATAGTTGGATTATTGCTACATCAAAATGTTAAAAAATCACCCTCTAAAAAATAGGGAGTTAGACTAATTGCTAATTAAACCGTCGATGTTTACAATAAACCTAAAAATTTTTCTTTTAATAATTGAAATTAACATAAAAGAGCTTACGGAATTTTATAAGAATTTATTTTAACTTACACTATTTTAAACGATAGCGTATTTATTATAAATCCTTCACTGTAAAAAATTATGTTACAAAAATGAACCTCGAGAACACTACACGGTGTAAAATTTTTTACTGCTGGAGAAGTTTTCGGAAAAAATTTTTGTTTTATTAAAAACGCTGCCATTTTCTTGTTGCCAACAAATTGTAACTTGTTTAAATGATGATAAGTTGGAAATATTTAATACTCAATTTGAAAATATCGATAAATATTTCTCTGAGAGTTAATAAGTCTTTTTTATATTTAGTATTTATATTTATGTATAATATTTACATTTAATATTTATATGTACAAACATTACTTTAACATTAAATTTAAACGGTAAATTTTAAACGCAACGCTAAAAATCAAACTGTAATTATTGACTTGCTTGGATTGATAAAATGTATATTTTAAAAGTATAATTTTTACTGTTTCAAATGTTAAATTCTCCTAGAGTGAGACCCCCTTCTCTTTCATCTGAGTTCCCCTTCTCCTCATAATATGGACTATATATTGAAATGGCAATTTTTACTGTTTGAAACTTAATTTTTTAAGATGAAAGAGTCGTTATTTACTATAGTGACAACTACTAATCACTTATTTTGGATATTATAAATTATAAATTGTGGCTTTTATACTTTCTAACATTAAGTTCTGTAATATTTACATTTTTGCCACCCCGATGTCCGCTTTACTGTTTGAAACTATATAAACTAACCGGAATCCGAGTGAATATTACATTTTACTTTTTTCCGTGCATAATCCGGTTTGAATATAATAATAAATGTGATAATTTTTAATTTTTTCATAAAACAATGATCAACTTTTATCAGTGAAAATTTTTAAAATACAAAATTACAGTTAAGGCTCTGGATTTAAAATTAAAAAAAAAAATTATTGGATATATGAAGGATTTACGGATACGGTTAAAAGTTTAATGGCTTCAGGATATATAAAAACTCGAGGAAGGAGAAAAAAAAAAACAGCCATAAAGTGCCACATTATCCTGAAAAGAAGGCAATAAAATAAAAAAATTTTTTGGGGTCCATACCGCGGAGTTAAATTTAATTTAAGGGAAACTCATGTTACCGAGGAAACTAATTTAATAAGTTTATTTATACTAAGTATGACTTTTATCATAATCATCTCGTTCAAGGCTTCAGAAGACCTGGAAATAACAGTAATCATCCCTTTGAAGATTAGCTCATTCTTATTGGCAAAGAAGCCGACTTTCTGGCTTTATAATGATCAAAGGGAATATTTTTATGTTTATGAAATATTTATTGTCAACTTTTTGATGATTGTCGTAAATGTAACAAATAAATTACTTTTTTTAAACCGTTAAAAATTTAAGTTTAAACTTCAAGATAAAAAATTCTTAAATTAAGTAAAATTTATTCGAATAAATAAAAATTTCTTAGCTCAAGAATTTTTCTACTGTTTCATAATAACATTCATGACAATATCAAAAAATCAATTGAAAAATTTTAAATATGAATAATATATGTCAAGGACTAAAACTTTATAAAATTCGTTACCTAAGCTGCGATAATTTTTTTAATTCTTAAAAATAATTGAATCACGAATGATTCAGATTAAAATTTCGTATTTCTGATGTGTCATTTTATTAAAGTCAAGGTTATAAATTGCGTCAAAAAATTAGAGGAAATTCATCTCATCAAGTTCACGCATGATGCATGTATTGAACTATTTTAAAACTAATTAGGGCAAAAAATCCAATTATTGACTGACAATTTTATTTTAATTAAAAAAAAACAACTCTAATAAATTAATAAATATAATTTTTAAAAAATTAGCTTTTTGGGAACATTTTATTTTTTTAATTAGAATAATAAAATTGCAAGTGTCAAATAACTAAGCCAGTGTGAATAACTAGGTTTTTTACCTTAACTATATTAATTAAAATTAACTATTAGTAAAAATTAATACAACAACAATACTAGAAATTCTCAAATAAAAATAAAAAAAAAAAAACAAAAACAGTTACTGCAGAAAAAACTATAACATACAGAGATTTAGTTTGGTATAATAAAATTCCCGCGGAAATAAAAGAAGAAACTCGAATTAAAATTTTTCAATTATTATTGAAAATAAGGTAAAAGACCCCATTAGTGGTACCTTTAACCTCTATCAGTGGCACTTTACTTTAAATGAAAAAATGTTCTACTTGGAATAAAAATAAAAAATTTTTTTGATCTAAAGGTCTTAAAGATTAGAAATAATATAATTCATTATTGAAATTAATGATTTCATTAATTGAATAAGTACTAAAATCAAAGAAAGTGTCAGTAATGGGGTCTTTTACCCTGTACATCATAGAAAATGTAGAATACTTCGAGAAATTAAATGATAAAATCTAAGCAAATTGTAGATACTTAGTACATGAGGTGCAAATGACGAAACTAAAATATTATTTAATAAATTGTATAGAACTAATTGTAAAACAAAAATAGCTACTTAGCTAAGTAAATATGTTATTATTATTATTAATTAATCTATTATGTTAGATCTAATTGGTTAGTAGTATCTGATTGTTTGTCTGATTAGTTGAATAAGCTAGATCAATGGTTAATAGTCAATCAGTTAACGCTAAATGTTGATAAATCGACATTTATTACCTTTGGTTGTTACACTGACAGTGTGCCTACAAATTTTCATTTGTACATTAAAGATAGAGAGTTGAAAAGAGTTGAAAGTTGTAAATATCTGGGAGTAGTTTTTGATTGTAACATGAAATGGAACAAACATATTGCAGAACTAATGAAAAAACTCAATTACTTTACCTTCCTCTTTTACAAATTAAGTAATTGGATAAACACATCATTACTGAAAATCATATATCATGGTCTATTTGAAAGTGTCATAAACTATGGAATTATAGCATGGGGGGGGGGGTGCATATGATAACACTTTAAAACCTATTATAAATCTACAAAATAAAATGTTAAGCAAATTGACAAATTCTGAAGATATGTTAGGACCATTGAAGATTAAACAATCTTTCGTTGTACAAGCCTTAACTTATTATTTTCGTGAATGTAAAACTTTGTACTCTGATAGAGTAATCAATACAAGAGCTAGACAGTTAACTTTACCAAAAATCAATAGAACAATAAGTACTAAAAGTGCAATTTATGTTGCAATTAAATATTTTAATTTACTTCCTAATAATCTGAAAGAGCTAAATTATACCAAATGGTTAAGAAAACATATTGTAAGATGGATAAGATCAATTATACTTTAATTCATGATAAATTGTATATAGGTAAAAATTTTGTAAAATTAATCTTAATTTAATCTGTACTCTATTTACTTAGTTAATTTAATATTATGTATTAATTTTTTATAAATGTATTCACGGAGAAAAATTAATTATACTATCTACTATACAAAAATAGTAACTCCTACTATTTAAAATGGTAATAAAATTAATTAGTAACAAAATAATAGGTTGTATCATTGATAATTGTAATAGTTACTATTAATAATAGTAACGATTACTATCGAAAATAATAATTGTAATTATAATAAATTATAATTGTTACAATCGAAGATGGTAACTGTAACCATCTCAGATTGTTAAAATTCTGAAAGAAAAAATAATATAAATCCTCTATTTAGATCCATATTTTAGCTAATGTACATTTTTTTCTTTGAAATATTAAAATATTTTAAATTCCCTTCAAAATTTTTTTTTGAAAATTTCATTTTTTTCAAGATTAAAAATTTTTTTTTTAAATAAAAATTTTTTTTTTAATTAAAATTTTGATTTTTTTGGAAATTTCAAAATTTTTTTGAAAAATTTGGCGTTGAAAATTGTTCTAGACAAATCAAAATTTAAATACAATTTCAATCCGAATTTAATCCCGATTTTTTGTGCACTACAGCTGCTTATAGTTTATTCAGAAATGCATCCATAGTAACGCAGATTCTTAATTTTTTTAATATTTTTTACTAGCTTAGATAGTAGTTATTATTATTACTGATGGTAACTGCAACCATCAGGTTATATTAAGAAATACGATTTTGATAATAGTAGTAACTAATTAAAATAATAACAGTTATTATTACTGATTACCATCATAATCGTAGTAGCT